TCCTGTCCCTGTCCCACAGTGCAGAGGGGTCTCATTCTCTCATTCCAGCACCCAGCCCCCTCCATGTCCCCTCCCCAGGGTGACCAGGGACCTCCAGGTGGCATTTGGAGGCAGTACAGCCTTGGGGATCAGTACCTTGCCTCCTTTGGCTCCCAAATCTCCCTTGGCTCCACCGGGACCTCGGCAGCCCTGCAAGAGCAGCAGCAGTGGGGGTTACAGTGAGAAACCCCTGGTGCAAACTGTGTCTGATCCTGGCTCCAAATAAAGGGAATTTTGCCGTGCTCCAGTCAGGGCTTTCCTCTGGATGGGCCCCTCTGAGCTGGGAGCAGGGACCTGCTGCATCTGGTTCCAGGGCTTTTGGGTTCAATCCCCACTAGACCAAGCGCAGCAGCCCATGCCAGTGCCAGCTCCCAGCTGGTGGTGGCACCTCTGGCACCACCCAAACAATGCCAAGTGTCTTATCCTCACTGCTGTGTCCCTCAGCTCAGGCCAAAGCATTCCCCCTTCCCTGAGCTCCCAAAGGCAGGTGACCCCTGAAAATTCCAGTAAAAGGAGCCCAAGCTCAGCTCTACCTCCCCAAACAGCTCCAGCTGGCACCCACTCAAACACCAAGTCCAGGCACATATAAAGAACACGGAGCTGCAGCTTTGGGCTGCTCTGCCACAGCTCTCCTGCCTCCAAAGCAGGATCCCATGGATGCCATCACTCACCTGCTCTCCTTGGGTGCCTTTTGCACCTGGCAGGCCAAGAAAACCCTTCAGAGAGAGACAGAGAATGCAAGTTAAAAAAGCAAAACACAAAGGGAAGTATTGCATGTGGTGCTGGAAGTGACAACACACCCAGAGCACAGGGATGGCATGGGCTGGGAAATGGGGGCACCACTTTGGCTCTGCAGGGTCACTGCTGAGATGCCCCAGTGGGATTTATTCCCCAAAAAGGGACCAGAAGAGTCACAAACCCTCCCAAGGCTGCCCCTAAGATGAGGGTGAGGTCCTTGTTTAACTCCACAATGCACCCTCACATCCCATCCCTCATCCCATTCCAAGCTCTCAGCTCCCAGTTCTCAGCTCTGTGGGTTGGGGTCCCAGGACACAGACAGGGACACCTGGGCCAGGCAGGAGGAAGTCAGGCTGTCCCAAGCCTCTGGAGCATCCAAATCCCTTGGGAAAAGGGTGTCCCAGGGAAGGGATCAGCAGGGCTGGGCCATCTCTGCTGACAAATCCACAGGGAAAGAATAAAAACAGAGGTGCCTGAAAGCAGGAGGGGCAGAGGAGCTTTGGGGATGGGGACAGTGGCATCTCAAGCAGCCCTGTGGGAAGCTGGGGAACCAGGGCATTCCCAGCAGGATTTTGTGGGGCTGTAGGGGGAGGATGAGTGTGGCCACAGCTCTCCTCACAGAGAGCAGCAGGCACAACTTCCCAAGGATTTTTCTTGGGAAAGCAGCGAGAAGTACAGAGAGAAGAGAAAACAATTCTTATCTCTATTCACTGCTCCTGTTTTTGCACATGTGGAATGTGTTATGGAGATTGGTAACTGAAAGTGATTGGTAACTGAAACTGAAAGTGGTAACAATGAAAGTTGTTTTGAGTGATTAGCTTTGAATCACTCAGAGCTGTGTCCTGGCTGTCTCAGACACTCACAGGTTTTCTGTAGTATAGTTTTAATATA